TGAAATGAAAATGAAATGAAAAGTCATTTATTCAGTCTAGGCTATTACAAGCACTTGTGAAGGTCAAGAAGCTACGCCATCGGTTCGCAAAACTACGGCAGGAGACCTTGTACTGAGAAGAACCGGCAAGAAACTCAGAAAGGCTGCTTTTTTCTCCCTGTATTGATATATACAGTGTCGTCAAGTTGAAAAATGACTTCAGAGATACTTCTGAAGTCACCTTCCATTACATTATTTAGGATATAGATATATAGTTACAATAAAATTTATATTTAGTATATAGGAAGCGGCATTAGATAGGTACCATATTACTGTTACAAAAACTGACTCATACCCATCAAATAACAAATTACAAGAAACACTATGTCCATGCATTACGATCATTTAGATAATCATTAACTTTATAATAGCCCTTATTCATAAGAGAATTCCTGATCTGATATTTATAGTGGAAGCTCAATCAGATCTTGCGGAACTTTGTTAAACAATGCAATACTACATCCCAGAAATGAACCTCTTGATTTTTGGAGTCTTTTTGAAACATGGAACGGCAAGCTTGTTTTTAAATCTCGTGTTAAAGATATGGGTTTGACTTTTTTTTTGCAAATGCGTCATAGTTTTTTTTTACATATATTATATTTTCATAAATGTATTGCGATTATTATAATAATATGAGATTCTCTTGCCTTTAAATTATATATGACGCGAACAGCTCTCTTTTGCAGTACGAAAATACTTTCTATATTAGCAGCTGAGCCCCACAACAAAAGGCCATATGACATAACGCTATGAAAGTAACCAAAGTAAACCAATCTTGCCGTTTCCACATCAGTTAGGAGTCTTATTTTTTTAAAAGCGAAAGCCGCAGAGCTCAGTCTACTTGATAAGGCATCAATATGAGGATCCCATTGCAGATGCGAGTCTAAAGTAATACCCAGAAACTTTGTAGAATCCACTAACTCTACAGGCTGGTCATTTATTTTGAAACTAGTATTAACCTGCCTCACATTAGGTAAAGTAAACTTAACACATTTTGTTTTACTAGAGTTTAGTTTTAAATTATTTACCGTAAACCAGTGAAGGACTTCAGAGAGAGCACAATTTACTTCGTCATAACAATCATTTCCTCTCCTAGCTTTAAACACTAAAGAGGTGTCATCAGCAAATAGTATTGTTTCACACAAATCTCTTGTAAAGTGAGGAAGGTCATTGATATAAATAAGGAAAAGCAATGGGCCCAATATTGAACCCTGGGGCACGCCCATAGAAATGGGTGCTCCTGTAGACTCAGCTTCATTTATAACTACTTTCTGAATCCTAGCAGAAAGATAATACTGTATCAGACTTAGTGAAATACTAGCAAACCAGTGAACCAATTGTTCACCAAAACCTGATTTCTCGAAAACCAGAAGTGCTACGTTACTCAAATCCGGTTTGTAGTCCTATCAGACTATTCTTAACTTATAACTTAAATATTCTCTTTATCTATCTCTTACGGTTTGGCCGCTGAAACAGCACCACAGACAGACGGACGGACTTGTCTAATAGATAAGAGATTTGATACACCATAATGCTAACATATTTAACAAAGTGTCATGGCTAACGCAGTCAAACGCCTTAGATAAATCGCAAAAAATGCCAATAGCATCGTGCTTACTCTCCCATATATCAATGTGTTTGAAAAGTACAGTTCCAGCATCAGTAGTACTTTTGCCTCTAGTGATACCAAACTGTTTCAAATGAAGTAGCTTATTTATAGAAAAGTGTAGTACTAGTAATTGGTTATAAATTATTTTCTCAAATACTTTACTTAGCGCTGGTAATACGGATATAGGCCTAAAATTGCTGGGATCTGATTTATCACCCACCAGCCTTAAAGAAAGGGATAACTTTAGCACATTTCATTAGATCTGGAAACACTCCCTCATTAATACATTTGTTAAATATAATGTCCAGTTGTGGCGCAATGACAGTGATAATCGGATTTATTATATATGTTGATATTCCCCATAAATCCTCTGTCTTTTTAATATTAATAGAATTAAATGTTTTTATAATACAATCACTACTGATATGTCTTAAATGAAAATCATTACTGCACTTATCAACACTTGACTCAAGGAGGGTCATTGCTAACCTAGAACAAGAATTACGATTTCTAGTTGATTCAAACGGTGCACTAGAAAAGAAAATTTCAAAAGTGCATTGGCAACGGCATCATCTGTCCAAACAATCTTGTTGTCTATTTTTAAAGAATATGTGTGTTCATTAAATTTATTTCTTCCAGTTTCATTATTAATTATATTCCAAGTTGTGTTTATTTTATTATCTGATAGACTAATTTTTTTTGATCAAAATTTAGCTTTCACTATGGCACACACCTTTTTTAAAAGGTGTGTGTAATAAATCTTAAAGCTGATAACTTAACGTAAGTAGGTACTATTTGAGGGAGTAAGCAATTACCTACAGAGAAAACTTTTTCTTATGCTTAGCCAAAACCGAATTGTTACATAGAAAAATATGCGTAATGTGTGAACGCACACATTATGTTACAAAACCGGTGAAATGTTTTCAATTCCACGCAAAGGTCAAGTATTTGTTTTGTACAAAGAGAAGCAACTCCTCGATAGGAATTCTGCATTTTTGAACTCATTAATATTCTGAGCATACCTTGGCGTTAAAAATGCAACCACACATCTATTCCATTGTATTAGGTAAGTCTAACCCATTACATAAAACGAATAATAGCTTTAGAATTTTACAAAAGAACAAACTGTTTTTGTTTTGTACAAATTAAGGGTCGTACATACTAAAACATATATAAAAACAGGTAGTAAATTACTTATTATTACTAAAATATTAATATATGTACCCGGTTTTTAATAGTAAGTAGGCATAATGCATGATCAAATTAGAATGGTCAATGTCAAGCATATGCGGGTATTTTTATATATTTCTGTTTAGTTTGTTATTATTTTGTATTTTAAATCATTTTTAAAGTCTATTTCTTACACGTATTAGGTATTTATCTATTCTATAATTGTTTCCTGCTATCAATATCATATTACTATTCCATCACGAAGACGAAATCATATGCATATTCAAACTCCTGAGGTCAAAATAATGAATTTAAACGTGGCCAATAAAATAAAAACAAATTGTTTATTAATTTCCATGACTGAGAAATCCCAAGATCAAAAAAGTAGCCAGTACAAGTTTTTTGAATTAATTATAGTTCGTAGTCAAGTTTGTAGATCATTAATATTGGTAATTTACTTTCAGATTATAGAGAATTTCAAAGTGTTTGAAAATAAGAAAATAATGATTTGGTTGGTCGTCATGTTATTATTAAATTATTGATAGATTTTGAAAATTTGAAAACTCTCTAATGTCAGTATTTTTTTTAACAAGCACTGTACCTAGCGATTGCAGCTTATCAATGATGCATAATATGTCTGCAAGTACGTTTGCTAAGAAAATTGTCATCTTCACAATGTTTCGAGTCCGACTGAAAGTAGCTACAACATTGAATAAAAAGTCATAGTTGTAATATTATCTCAAACTACGTCTGAAGTAGCAGCAGCTTTTCAAGTTCGTGACAAAATGATACCGATTTATAAATAAGTTCAGATTCAGAAAGGACGTACCTAAGCAGTGAATAAACGAACTCATTCATAAGCAAAATTTTAAACTATTATTTACTAAATAAAACTAGTTTTTACGGGTTAATGCACGAAACTTTATTTATTTATTGACGTTTCGTAGCCTTTACAGGCCTTTAAAGCCTTTACAGGCTACGAAACGTCAATAAATAAATAAAGTTTCGTGTATTAACCCGTAAAAACTAGATTTATTTAATGAGTGATGTGCGTGAAAACCTAAGAAACAAATATATTATTTACTATACCACGTTTATATAATAAAATATTTTGCTACACAGAAAAAAAGGAAAATATTTCGAGTACTCAAATTTAATTAACATAAGCTTACATCCTAGCTGATATAACAAGTGAGTACGGTTACGAGCTGTGGTTACGAGGATCAACGATTCATATAGAATACACAAAAACGAGACGCAGCCATGCGCCAATGTCGAGTAACATTATCAGATTGACAATAACGCAGGCGAAAAACTATTTGCATTCAAAAAGGCATTATCGTACAATCTTGTTACTGTCATCATCCGGCAAATTCAAATTCGATACAAAACAAGAAGTTCATTATAAAACCGAATAATTAGCAAAATGAGTCTATGAACCTAGCCGGATGTGAAACACATTTACAGCTCTGCTATGTGGGTTATGTTATGTTCTTAAATAGGGATCAAGTACATTAGGTACAGTCATCAGAAGTTGCTAGTCTGCCACTTTTAGGCGATTTATCACTCAAACAGGTTCGAGTGATAAATCGGCTTATCTTAATAGTATGAGTATAAAAATATAATCTACTAAGATTGAGCCTATTCCCTGGGGCGTATTTGCCCTAGGGCTAAGTGGGCCATGGCCCCGGGTGGCAGGCTGCAAGAGCTGTGAGGGACGGAAGCAGCAAGTAGCCATTAAAGGCATTATTTTCTGACCTATTTACTAATTCTTTGGGTGCAAATCGTAAGTGGCTCGGGCATGAAATTTTAAAATACGCCCCTGTCTATGCCATAGGCAAAAAGTAACTAACCACCAAAATTTTTAACTGCATAAACTAAAGAATTGGTATTTTGTTGCGAGTTTTAGCGTGCAAATATGATCAATTGAATTTGAATAGCAAATAAGTAAAACACAGTTAGGTAAACACGACAAAAAATTGTAAATGTGACAATGTAAATTTGTTAATGTGCTATTTGTTTTACCGGTTTGAGAAATTCCACTATTTTCTTATTTTAGACTTCGTTTAGATATCACTTTAAAAGTTCAGATTGTGTTAGTAAAGCTGCTGTCATTAAGCCCAGTCATCAGGTAGATAGATGGCTTTATCTTGGGATCTAGAACTCTTTTATTGTAACATACCTTAATAATCATCCCATGGTTTCGTCTATCATAGGTTCTATTTCGCACATTTTATCATATAACATCATCGATATTCATCAGGCATCATCATATATTTTATTATTTATTCCTGGAAACACATAATTTCAAAAATATCACACACTATTCATCATTTTGTAAATACGTATAATAATTTCTTCTGTACTGAAAATCACTATTCCAGAGTGCTGGACACTTACCGGCATTTCTCTTTATTCTGTTATTTATTTGATTTCATTATTTTTGCTCCGATTTTATCTATTTTTAATTTATTTATTTTATTGACATTTATGACAACCTTATGTTTTTTATCCGTTGCCATGGCTACCCATGACACGGATACTCTCTCCAACTATGTCTATGACTATTCAACCTCCACAGACCACCTACTTTGATTCTTTTTGGCTCGATTCGAACCGTGTCTAAATTCAAATGGTTAAAAGGCCACCTATAAAAGGCCGAGACTCCCTGATCATTCATTCAATTCTACGGCAAAAGTTGCCTACTCAACTTTTGATAGCTCGCTACCGAGCTCTAAATTAATAAAAGGCCTTGTCCCGGGGCCGGCTGCCCCGGTACTCAAGAAAGACCTCAAAGCTTTTTAGCACCTATTGGCTCTCTAAACAACTTCCTAACTCTAATACTCTACTACTCTTCACGTACTCGCAACCTCATCGGTGGGACTGCGCCTGGACTCCAGCTTCTTCGGCCAGCCTCCAACTGGTTCAGCCCGCCTTTCTACCGACTCCTGCCGTTACATCAACGCCTGCCTCTGGCCGATATACGCCGGCCAAACTACCAGCAGCGCCGCCAGCCACCACCAGGGCAGGCCAAGAACTAAGACGGCTGCACAAAAGCGCTTCTGCCTCCAAGGAGCGCCGTCCATCTGCCTGTAGCACGACCTACCGTTCAAGCCGCCCCTGAAGATCGCCTACAACCCACGCCCACTTCATCACTTCCAATTCACACCCCACATTTCACACACACCTTACCTTTTTTTTAATTGTTAAACTGTAAATATTTTGTCTTGTAAATATATATTTCCTATACTGTACTTTTGATTTTTCCTTCCTTTTTTTTTATCTAGATTTATTTTGTCGCTACACGACATTATGTTTTGTGAAGACTTAATCCTTTTATTTTCAGTAGGATTAGCAAATGTTAATACACGCATCACCTTTGGTCCAATTTGATTTTATTATTCAAAGTATTTATGATATGCCCCCTGTACCCTTAGTACGAGTTTTACAATTACAAAAACTATGATAGTTTTCGTGAGCTCGCACTCGTACTAAGGGTACTGATTTTATTTTTTTCGTTTCAATACAAATAAACAGTGGTTATATTCTATCATTAAATCATTTGCGTCTTCATAAATTTTAAGTATATTTGTTTACTTTTCACCAAAATGGGCATAGAAATATAATTTACAATTCGAAAACTATGATAGTTTTAGTGAGCTCAAACTCGTACTAAGGGTACTGGTGTATACTTTGAATGTTTGCGTATTACCATATTGCATATCTTATTAAGTACCAGACAAAACCATTACAGTTTAATTGGTATAAATATTGCAACAAGTATTTGCCATATGAAATATAATAAGTAATGAATTTTATTATAAGGTATTGTAATCGTATTGATATATTACGAAACATATGGGTGGTAGGTACTCATTGGGATTTTTTCACCTATATTTCTTCACGGTCCAAAGTAGTTCTTACTGGAAGATATACATATATTATTATGCTACGCCAACACACCGGTCACACTATCGCGAATATTTTCCGTTTTCACGACAAGTCCAACCAAGCAGTTGGACACAAGTCGCATTTCAGGGCACGGTTAGAAATGTGACCATTGCTTGATTAGATGTGTCTTCGTGAAAACGGCAAATGTTCGCGAAATTGTAATAGCGTGGCCATAGCATTACTATTCACTGAAAGAGTTGTTTATTTTATGCAATCAATTTGAATAAAGAAATAATAGGATGTGAGAAGTGAAGATGCTTCTGTTTGAAAATCTTTAAAACATTATCTCTTATTTTATATTATATTTAATTTAAATATGTACTGCTAAGATTTTATAAGATTTTTTGTAAAAAATATTTAATTTGAAAGTGTCAAGTAATTGTTAAACCTAAGAGTAATTACAAAAGGCATATCTATATGTTAAGCTCAAAATTAACATATTCAATATATCTAATCCGAATTAGCTTGTATAAGTAACAATTATGGTTTTCCCGGGTTACTAAAGTTCAAGTGATGCCAAAGTTCGTTTACCTTAAGACACGAAAAGTCAATTAAGCAATTTAATCTTGGCAATGATACATTACTTAAATTATAAAACATTTTCTTGATTTGCTTTCGAGAAAAAGGTATAATTTTTTGTGGTATTTAATTAGGTACTATTTTACTTTGATCTAGTAATGAAATATTTATCGTCAAATATATTTTATTTATTTATTTATTGAATTTCACATTACTATAAATAATAACAATACATTTAGCCAGTGCTACAAAAACCTGTGTAGGTTTTACCGAGCACTGGGATTCGTCATCTTTTAGATCTTTTTTTTCTGCATCTACCCTCTTTCTACGAGTTGTCGGCGGTCGCCCCTAACAGAGCAATGAGTTTGTTCACACGGGCGGGTTCCCTATCAGATTTTACTAAATACTGTTACTTTATTATGGTGTTGAAAAACATTAAACTTTACTATATTTTAATATATTATTCTTGATTTAATAACTGTGAGCAATAATATCCTTTTAGTACGTTTTTAATATTAATATCACTAATTTCTTTTTTTACATAATATTGGTAATTCGTTAATTAACTTGGGTATCTGAAACTGTAATAATTGCCTACCATAAAGATTACTGTATCTTGGGATATTGAATGTAAGTGCTGATGCACTACAGCTTTGCTTACTGTGCTGCTTTATAATACAAAAGTTTTCATTGAAATAGTTTTCTGAGATCAGATTAGATTTGACTTGATCGTGTACAGGCAAAACGTTACAGTGGTAGAAGAGTTCATTTATATTGTTTTTGAATTTCATTTTAATTTTATTAGGAACTATGGCTTTTAAAATTCTAACTTGTATATTGTATATAAGGTCCAAATGTGATTTTACAGTTCTTCCATAGCTACTTATACCATAGCTTATAATCCTTATATAGTTGCAAAAGTATGGAATATGGAATTTTGTTTCTGACTAATACAAATTTAGATAGTATTGCTCGCAATTTGTCACATACATAATGAATATGATCGACCCATTTCAATCTATCATCTATTATTAATCCTAGATATTTCTGTTTATTCACGATTTCAATGGGATTACACAGACATTTGTGATTATTCATATGTAAGCACTAGTGACTATGGGCTATCAGTTTAATATCCTTATAATTCCTATTATGACTACTGCTAATGTACATGAGCTTAGTTTTTTCATAGTTTAGAACTAGACCAACATCATGGGACCATTTGGAAAGTAAGGTACATCTAAGTCTCTATTACCAGAAACAAGACAGGTATCATCAGCGAATTGATATATTTCGCATTTTGTAATGAGATTGACTACGTCATTTACATAAGTTATGTAGTGCAATGGCCCGAGTACGGACCCCTGCGCTGTGCCTTTGGATACCTTGAACTTGTCGCTAAAGGTGTCTGTCACTTTGACAACATATGATCTGTTAGCTAGGTAGTCTTTGCACCATTCACCTAGCGGCCCACATATTCCACAATCTTTCAAGCTTTCTACTAGTCTTCCGTGATCTAAGGTGTCAAACGCCCAAATTGATTAGCTTAAGCATAATATGTTATTTAAATTTATATTTTTTTAACATTTTATTGTTTCTTAAAGCTTATTGCCCAGAACTTCAAGTTTTAAGTAATTGGTTGCTAATACAAACTTTTATCCTCTATTAATAAATTACCTACAAACATTCGATTTTTTCTATTTAGAAAGCTAATCACACTAATATTATAAAGACGAAAGTTTGGAAGTGTGTGTATATGTTTGTTACTTCTTGACGTCCAAATGGCTGGAGCGATTTTAATAAAATTTGGTATGGAGTTAGCTGACACCCTAGATTAACACTTAGGCTACGTTTTACGGCGGGAAAATATCCTTAATAAACCGCGGGTAACACCGCGAGGCACAGCTAGTTGGAAATAAAAATCAAATATGTTGCATTGAAGGCGAAGAATAATAATAGATATTTTAATATTTTGCATCACCTAATAAAGCTTTAGGCGACGAGCAATCATATAACCACAGAACACATAAATGTTACAAGCTTCGTGCCTGGTCACACAGATAAAAGTATTAGAGTTTATACTTTATTTTATTATTGAGTCGTAAGTATTCATGGGTACAATCTGCGGAACACGCACCCATTAACATTCCCAACCCTTCCATCCTACTGTTGAATAGACGTATTATGCCCCGAGGAATGCGTTATCATTGATCTCTTCACGGACATTCGACTACAGAAGTTTTTAAATCCTACCGTAAAGAGTGAATAATAAAAGATTTTTTTTATCCTTTTCAAATATTTGAGTCCACAGACCACAGGGGCATTTGGAGGTAAAAATGAGTTAATTTTAATTTCTGTTACGTACCCACTAGTTTATGATGAGAATCATCTTTGGTTAAAGTAATATTAAACTTTGATATTCATTCATTGTGTTAACTTTGGTTGCACGAAGATATTTAGACTAGAATAAAAAGGACATTGTTCTGCGTCCATACATAGTAAGCCTAAGAACCAACAATCATGAAATATTATTTTCTAGGTTCGAAATCGCAAGTAAATGACTGTGAAAACAAAGATTATTGACGGACACTTCTGAGAACTTAAATTATTAGGAAAACTAAAAAATTTTTGAGGTTATGTTTAATATTCAATGAAACATAGGTCAACCCATGAACTTAGTATGAACTCAGTATGAAGTGAATTAATATTACAACTAATTCATTTTATTCGGTGCGATTTTAAAGAATAACTATTAGAAAAAACTTGGTTAGGTAGGAATCATGAATATAATAAAAACTGTAGTTTTGCTTCTTATTATTTATTGACTATTTTTCACATAATTTTATCATATCGTATACTGTATTTATTTGTTTAACACATGGATATTGTGTTTATATGCAGCGTGAATGTGTATCAGGTGCTCTTGAATAATTTGGCAGTATGATCCTCTCAGGATGTTATAGCACTTGGTAATAAGGTTTCTGCTTTTTGGTAACATCGATGGCATATTAGATAGCCGAAATAGGAATAGTTCATTAAAGGAAAAACAATCGCAAATAAACACACACAACAGGTAATCCGAAACGAGAATTTTCCGTATATAAAAAGTACTCTTTGACGAGAATGCACGAATGCCACAGATTACTACGAATGCAAACTGCCTGCAGCACAACCACAGAGTATCGAGTTTATGCCGGCACTTCACTTAATAACAGTTCGTCCTTGTCATGCTTAATAAGGAATGAAAAGGACAGACTGATGTCATGTTTTTAAATAGCAAATACGAACAGCCAAGTGAAATGCCGGCATTAGGAAGAAAGAGTTTTTTGTTTGCAGCGCAGTCATAGATTATACACATAAAATGGTATTTATTGTCTCAGATTATTTATTAACTTTATAATTTCGCTTACTTAATTGGAAGTGTCCGTCACAATCTAAATACTGTTAATTATCGCAAAAAATATACTAAGAATTATCATAAATGCCAAATTGGTGTTGGTTCTTAGGCTAATTTTAACATTGTCCTTTAGCTGAGTATTAATTTATTTTTATTTGAAAATTATTTGTCATAAGAAATAACTATTTGCATTTAACAATTATTTTAGTTTTACCTTTCTGATCTAGACTGTACGAGTTGTGTAGCACGGCATCATTTAGCAAACTTATCATGTGATCACAGGGCCGCTGCGAACGACCTGCGGAGATTATGAATAGGTACAATACGCCGGCCACAGACCACGACGGTTTATTTTGACGTTAGTGGCACGATCAAGATACTATTCTAAATTCAAATGCACCTAAGGCCTCGCAAATTTGCCATTCAACTTTGTGCGCGATTGTATGCTGAAATTGATAGTTCCTCAAGTTCAAAAGTTAAATTCTCACATACTTTTTTTATAAATATGACCGAAGCCGTGAAACGCTATTGTATTAAGATTTATCTTATCTTTATAGAACTTATGTCAAATGACCTTTGACATCTTTCGGAAGCGAAAGCCAAATTATCACTTTGTATATTTCACTGATAAGCCGGTGAATAAGAGATGGGTACTTACAACTGTATAGTAGACATTGATAAGAAATAAGTGAATTTTAACTGTTTACGCTAACTTATAATAATACTTCATGTTGTCACAAGGTCGTTACATATATTATTTTCATACGAAGCGACTGAAAAAAAGAGGACTCAACGACGCTACCATTGAGCAGTTCTAATATTGGTTGAAGACGCTACTATGATTTTATTTACATTTGAACTTTAAATTACAATGTTTCTATTACAAATAAAGTAAACCTTCGTCTAGCCAACCGAGCGTATAGCAAGTAATAATTTGTGGTCTTACAGTTATTATCTAAACATATTAATAATTTTACCAATAATATTACGAATTCTGCTGTGAATATTAAAATACATATACATGAGATATTTTTGACTCATCACCAAAGTTTGAAATAAGTTACATGGCATAGGAATGAATAATAAAAAATGTGTAGATAATGTTCGATATAAACATCTAAATAAAATTTAAGACTGGCACTGACATATTATTATAGTACATTTCAAAAAGAGATAGATTTTTGACTCAATACCAAAGTTTGAAATAA